GTTGTTTATAAAAAATCTTCTGCTTATTGAAAAAATGTTGTTTTGCCATTAATGCAATGATGCCCTTTTCACTCGGATGCCGCCGCTCCGGCGACAAAATACATATAAATCTCGCAAGTGTTAATTGGAAAGTGTTAATTATGAAAATATATTGCAAAATTATATTACAAAAATTAAAAGATTATTTAATATTTCCAGATAAAATATTCTTGTCAAAATATTATCCACGTCAGACAAATATAAATGGGTGAATATATTGCTTATTATAATGTTTGATTTACAAATTATTGTTATTTAACCAAATGTAGATGTTGCGAGGACAAATCCTCATCAAATAATTTCCAAAGATTTAATTGCCAAATATTAAATAGAAAATCATTAAAACCCAAGTCGTTAAATTGAAGGTATCCTTCGAAACACACAATCCTGCTCGAGCGTAATGATACGTCCCATGTCGTAAAAACTTAGTTTTCGAAACAGAGTTTAACTCACATCGTTCAGATGAGCAAAAGTTTGTGATTTGCAGTATCGGTCGATAAAAATATTTTCCAGCAAAGTATTTAAATCAACCCCAATGTTTCGAAAGTATCGCGAAATGGGTAGCCGGTATGGTCGGGCCAACCCTCGCAAGAATGTTGCGATGGCGTGCTAAGTTGCATTCAACCGCTCAATGCAGGATTATATAGTGATGGAAATACAAAATTACCTGTGCGATGTCGAATTTTTTTCGTTAAAACGATCATTTGCTACTGATTTAAGGCTTTCGACATGCCAAAATGTTGAGCGAATGCGAAATATATATTAAGGAGTTTGCAGACAGTTCATTTTCGCATAACGATATATGGAATTTACATAGGACTGCGCGGATTATCGTTACTCAAAATGTGTTTGGGGATTTATTATGCAGAGAAAGTCGACGAAGTTTAAGCTACTGTAGAAGTATTAGATACAAACTGTGTGTATATGTATATAGGATTTTGTTTCAAAGAAACATATTATTAAAGATTATCCTAAAGAATTAAAAATAAACAGTAAACGATAAAATGTACCTATACCTGTCATGTCAATGTTTATCATCATTTAGTTGTTCTATAAATTATTGAAATGAATGAAAATTTGCTAAGATTATTCAAAAATAAGATGAAGCGGGGCTTAAAGATTTGCGGATAAACAAGACTCCACCTTCAATACAAGCCAGTGAAGTTAATTTTTTTTAACAACAATATTTGAAAGTATAAGGTAAGAGATGTATATCTTGACATCTCCTTGATTCTTTCGACCCCTTTAGACGAGTAAAAAACTACAATGTTTGAAAATCCATAACAAAAGTATTTCGTGGCGTTGTTATTTGTTTTGATTGTGAGTACTGTTGCCTAGTTTTTCAGACCCTAATATAATTATTAGGTGTATGTTACCTCTATAAAGCTTACACGTGGGTGGGGTAAGAAGGACCAACTAATTCTTTACCCTGGCAGAGGTGTAAATAATAAAATTAATAAGTCAATAAAAAGTAATTAATTTTTATTTTAATTAATATATTTATTTAAATTATGGTAAAAAATCATTATTCCAAGAGATGAATTAAATAAATAGTTATTCCAATTCTGGTTATGAATATTTTTGACGAAATGCCAGAACGAGGTTATATACAGTGTAATCTCTGTAAAAAAATGTACCTATGAGATTTATATTTTGTATTGCTTCAATAATGTAGATATTATTTCATAAAATCCCATCAAAATTAAAAATAAAACATTATACCTGTCTGCACCCTGGTCGTCCCTTTTTACCCCGCGCATGTTGTGAAAAGAACCAGGTGAATTTTTTTTAAAAAGTAGCAAAAAACACATTATACAATGATGAAATAGCTGGTAGTTTTACTGAACGTAGTCACAATCAAATAGTCAGATTTGTGTCTATATTGTCGGATTAGAATTATTTGTTGTGATATGATTGGTTTGGTTTACACAATTCAATTACTCAATGTCAAATTGAGTCTAAAATTCATATTGCCACATAATAAATCTTAATAAATAACTTTGATAATTAAATTAAATTATATATTAATTGAAGCATAACATGAAAAATATTTTCATCCCGCATAAAACAAAAATTATTTACAACGTTGTTCAAAGATGTAAAGTACTTCAATAAACTGCATATTTTACATCATTTAGGTTTAATGCAAAGCTTTAAATTTTTATTAGTTAGTTTCATAAATGAACACTTCAATTAAAACTCACGAAATATAATTTTTAGTTGAATATCGTTCAAAATTTAGTGCATTATCAATGTGATATTATTTTAACAGCGCCATTAAATATGGATATAAAATACTCATATAAACTTTATTTACTTCATATGTTTTGCATTTGTTTACTTAATCTGTAAAATGAATATCAAAATAAATACATCGCTAGAATAAAAAGGTAGTTTTTATGTAATCAGAGAAATTATATGAAAAATGAGTGGTATTATTTATTCACTCATTTTTTATTATTCATTTTAATATATTCGTTAAATATTTGTATTTGCTGTTTTAATTAAATATGGACTTAATATTGAATATTTTTGCAGAACAATATGTAAAAAATGCATACTAAAAAAATCTTACAATTTGCTGAAAACAAAAAAATGGTTAAAAACAAAAAAAGATGATTTATGATATGACGATATGTTAATGCACTACACTATTTGATATAAATATTAGATTTGTAATTATAATAATATTTTACAATTATACTAACATTAACCCTTTCGCTATGAAAGTGTTTTCCGCAGTAGTGTCGCTGCCGAACAATTATTTCTATGCTCTACTAACATTTTTCTATCATTATCAATGAAAATGTGTTGAAAAATTCAAAATTGCGCTTCTAATAAACTGAAAATTACAATAAAAATTAGAATTACCAATAGTTTAAATCATAACAAAGTCTGGCACGCAATATGTTGTCCATGGACGGCACTCGTATACACAGGCAGTCGAGTGAGGATTGCCACAGAACTCTCCTTTCAGTGTAGTCTCAGAGAATCGTCATAAAAGTGTCAAATTGATCCATAAGTGTATTCAAAATCTGGATATTTAATTTTATTATCGTTCATTCTCAAAGCATCACTAGATTTCAAAACCGCAATTCTTGTTCTGTCTAAATTATTATTCAGGCGATACGATCTAGTCTGGTCGTTCGTAGCGCTCACAGAGAGTCCGGCGATATCATATCCAGAATCGCAACGATCTAAGGAAAAGTGGTATTAAATGAATAATTCTGCTTTTAAAGGCTGATTTCGAGAGTTGCTAAACCTTTTAAATATAGGCGACTCTTGCTAAACCTTGTACTGGCTATTCTCAGCGTGCTAGTTGCGAAAATCTTCGCCTGGCAGAACCAGACCTGCACATTATGGTCGTTCAGGCAGAAAAAATTATCACTGAAGTTTAGTGCAGAAAAAATTATACTTGTTCCTGTTAGTCTTAAATTATTAAGCAATTCAATTTATTCATTGAAAAATTCAAAAATCAAATTGCCAGGCGATTTCAATCTGCACATGTACCTGCCAGACCAGCCGAATGTTTCACTTTTATGACCACGATGTATACATCTTACCGCAGCCCTGGTAAGGGCTTAGGCTGGACAAAATCGCTTGGCATTGCACATACCTTTTATACCAGTTATAAAAGTATCAAAATATACGTTGTTCTATAAGGTTAATTTATATATCTCTTCGTCTAAGCGATTTTATAAAAGTAAGTGCAACGCCAGGCGATTTGTCAAACCTACACCCTTACCAGGCTTCGGCGGGAGCTCAAGTATTTAATAAAAACTTTTATATAACATGCAAATTATATTATGTAAAAATAGAATAATAAAATTATGGTCCAAATTGATTTAAGTAATCACAATCAAATATATATTTTTTTCTTGTCTTCGTTTTAACCTACAATGTTTAATCTATTTTAAAAGTTCAAAAACTTTTCGAAAGATACTAATTGGGAAGCGTGTTCATTAGTTATTCGAGATCAGATCAGCCGGACCGTCTCTTTGCAATTAAATGTAGAATAATTTTTTGCACAATTTTTACGAAACTTTGTATAACAATAGATTTTGTAGTCGAAAGGTATTGTAACGATAATAACTTATTAATAACTTTTTGCAATAAATCATTTAAATTTGTAATAAATTTTGTACTAAATAATTTAAATTTGTAATAAATTTCGTAGTCGAAAGATATTATAGGAAATGATAAATTTTGTAGTGAAAAAATATAGCTTGAGAATTGCGTTGATTAGTTTTAGGTAAACAGCAGCCGGACCGTGTCTCCGTAAATGAAAAAAAATCTGAAATAACATACTAAAATATCAGAGGCACATAATGAGCGATAGAATTACAAAAAATCATCAAAGTTTAAAATTTTGCAATGCGCTTGAGAGATTCTAATTAGAATCTATGCCGAAGCATACATAGGTTTTGTTGTTTCGTAGGTCGCTACTGATTACAGTTGACGATCACACTTAAATAAAAAACATTTTTAGAACACGAAATAGATGAAATGAAACGAGTTAACAAGTTAATTAATTTAAACATTTTCATATATTATAAGTATGTTTAAAAGAAATAAATTGGATTATTTTTTAATAAAAGCAAAAATCATATTTTCAAACAAATAATTTCATATTTTATCTAAATATCTAAATCCAAATTATTATTGGTAAAGTAGGTACGTATCGGGAAGTTCATACAACTTGCCTTAAGGCAAAATGATACAACTAGTTTCTAAATTGGCGCTGTATTCATACTCCGCTGGCTGTCCCATCGGGTTGTTTTGAAATCGTCTTCGTCAGGATTCGCGATTCGCTTCTAGTTGCAAGAGTCGATCCTCAGCAAACATGTTATAGTCTGTCCTTATTACCATTGTATAAAGAGTATCTTCCCTCTTACTTTCACTCTCGGTTCATACGCGTGCCAAACACAAGAACACAAGCACAAGAGTTCTGCAAGCGCACATGCAGCATATGTGTATGCGGCGATGCCAGATTGATGCGTGTGAGTAAATTAGCATCGTAATAATTAATTAATATCTTATTTGTAAATTTTAATATTGATGAATGATACAGCTTTGAATTTATCGTAAATATTATACGTTAACAAAAATTTAGTTTTTACAGGAGATTTACTCACTAACTATTTCTATGTTCATACGCAAAATAACAAATTGATACCAAAACCAAATTATGATTATTTTGTTTGTGAGCTAATAAGAAAAACGATTGAAAAGTTACAGAAAAACTTCCCGTAGGGCAAGTTACAGTAATCGCAAAAAAATCGACAACGAATTTTTTTTTAACTTCCCGTAGGGCAAGTTATAGTAATCGCAAAAAAATCGAAAATGAAAATTTTTATATATCTTTACGTTTCAGAGGTTTCTGAACATTTTGGCATACCTTAAAAAAAATGGATGTATGTGTGTATGTCCGTGTATGTGTGTGTGTGCAAATACAAATTTTCGTCGACGATTTCGGGAACACGGATGAAGCGATTTGAATAATTCAAAAAACATTCGATTCGTATTGATAAGACGTGCTGATCAGTTTTTGGTGAAGGCAGGTCTAGCCGTTCCGAAGATATGGGGCAAAAAGTGCCAAAAACGGTAACTCAGTTTTTAAGAGAACGGAGCGTCCGATTTGAATAATTCAAAAAACATTTTACAGAATTGATCAAATTTTCATTTTCAAACCGCAGGTCTAGCGGTTTCAGAGATCTAACAAAAAAAGTAAAAAAAAAAATGCCATCTGGCGGTCAAAAATGATCATTAGACATATGCATATCAAATTACCAGATATGTTATAGATATTTTAACAATAAGTATAAATTTTGTTCACATTCCTATGGGTTCCGTACTAATGTTTATCCGCTAGACGGCGACGCGGCGCTTACGCGCTTTGATATTTCGTATCTATGTAGTTAAAGCAGTACGATTGCTTAGAAAAAAAAGTTCAGAATTTCCAAAATATTTCAAAATAAATTTTTCTTCAAAAAGTCTTATATATAGTTTCTCAAAAATCAAATTTTTTCAGAGTAATTTTTTTTCAAAAATGTTAATTTAAAAAAAAAAAAAAAATTTAGTACGGAAAGTTCATGCAATTTGCCTTAAGGCACGATGCCATGCGCCCCACTAGTTATATACCTTAAAAAAAAATTGATGTATGTGTGTGTGTATGTATGTGCGGATACAATTTTTTGTCGACGATTTCGAGAACACTAATTAATCGATTTGAATCATTCAAAAAACATTTGATTCGTACTGATAAGGAGACGTACTGATCGGTTTTTGCAAAGGCAGGTATAGCCGTTTCGAAAATACGGGCAAAAAATGTCAGAAATAGTAATTCGGTTTTTGAGAGAACGGAGCGTCCGATTTGAATAAATCGAAATGCATTTTACTTGTATTGACAAAATGAAGAACTAGTTAAGTTTTTGCGAAGGTAAGACTAGCTATTTTGGAGATTTAATAACAAAAAGTAAAAAATGCCATTTGGAGATCCAAAATGATTGTTAAAATATGTGCACATTAAATTATTAGATATTTTATTGAGATTTTAATAATAAGAACAAATTTTGTTTACCATGCTGTGGGTTTCGTACCAATTTTCATTCTTCAGACTTCCTTAGATTGCTTTAAAAAAAAAGTTCAAAAATCCCAAATATTTTTAGAATATTAAAAAAATCATATTTTCAAAACAGACCATTATTTCGAAATTTAAAAATTTGCAACAATCTAAATTCTCAAACTAAATCTTGCAAAATATTTTAAATGTTTTAAAAAAAAATTTTTTGGTTTGGGAAGTTCCAGCAAATTGCCTTAAAACACGATGCCATGCACCACTAATTTTTAAAAAATATTAAAATCTTATGCTTAATCTTATCTAATATTTTATGTATTGACTATTTTATGTAACTTACTGCGACCCTGTTCTTTTTGGGTTATCAAGCCCTGTCACATGAGCCTAAGCAACCAATGAGGAGCGACCATGAATCATATCAGCTGGCCACGATTATTCAAGCCGAAGATTTTGCTAACAGTATCGTTTTATTCCAGTAACAACCGTTCTTTGGATAGGTCATGAAATATATGGATATATTTTCACTTTATTTATTATTTGTTATATAATATTAAAATACTCAGTTGTAGTGAAATATTAAACAGTAATTTATATTCATTTAGTTCGGTATGTACATTTTATTCTACTTAGTTATAGTTGTTATTAATCAAAATTTTATTGTTATGCGTTCTTTAATCAATTTTATTATACGGTGAATGCTTCTGCAAATTTATACAAATTGTACCTGTGAATTTTTATGCGATAATTGTGTTATAATACGCGTAACACATGACATGTTTGACAATAAATATTGATTTTTTATATTATTTATGCAATCGATTGACTCGCCGCCGTCGATTAAATCATTTAACCAAATTGCTTTATATACATACAACAATTGTTGGTTACACATTTTGAATTTATATTTACATATGTTCTATTCTATGCAATATAATATAATTGCATATAATTTTTATAATTGTTGTTATATTGTTATATATAACAACAATTTATAACTATTGAAATTGGTATTTCTGATAATCCATATATATGATCTTTATGATAATATCTTAGAAAAAACAAAAGATGTATGCGTGTGTGTATGTATACGTGTAGTATGTATGCACGTGCGCATACAATATTTCCCCCGCGTTTTTGAGATCGCGGATCAACCGTTTTGAATGATTCAAACTAGCTGTAAGTGGAATTCTGTCTTAAGGCAATTAGGGCATCGTGCCTTAAGGCAAATTGCTGGAACTTCCCGTACCGCAATTCAAAATTCGAGTAATAAAAAATAATCAATAATAATAAACAATAAAAGTTGATCAATGATTTGAAACTTTTAATAGAATTTCGAACCATATTAAATCATTCTATCTTAAATCATTTATTTTGAAATATTTTGGAAATTCTGAACTTTTTTTTAAAGCAATCGTACTGCTTTAACGGCATAAAGACGAAATATCAAAGCGCGTAAGCGCCGCCGCGTCGCCGTCTAACGCGTAAACATTGGTACGGAACCCATAGGAATGTAAACAAAATTTATACTTATTGTTAAAATCTATAAAATATCTGATAATTTGATGTGCATATGTCTAATGTTCATTTTTGACCGCCAAATGGCTCATTTTTTCACTTTTTCCTCCATATCTTCAAAGTCGTTGGACCTGCCTTTCTAAAAATTTGAACAGTTCTTCATTTAGTCAATACAAATAAATTGTTTTTTGAATTACTAAAATCGGTCGCACCGTTCTCTTAAAAACTGAGTTACCGTTTTTAACACTTTTTACCCGTATCTTTGGAACGGCTAGACCCGCTTCTGCCAAAAACTAATCAGTACGTTTCTTTATCAATACGAATCGAATATTTTTTTAATTATTCATATCGGTTGATTCGTGTTACCGAAATCATCGACGAAAAATTGTACCACACACACACACATACATCCATTTTTTTGAGGTATGCTAAAATGTTCAAAAACCTTTGAAACGTAAAGATATATAAAAATATTAATAACTTTAAAATAAAATAAAATATTACTATTTATAAAGAAACTTCTCGGCCGATCGTCCCACAAATAGATAGGCCTCGTCGAGATCCATCGAATGGCTTTTAAATTTTTGAAATCGGACCAGCCGTTTTCGAGAAAACGTCGATTTACAACAAAAAATCTGATCACATACACACACACACATACTTTCTCCAAATTTGTTCTCATTCGATTCAGAATGGCTTGAAACGTCGAGAAAACATAAAATTAGCGAATCGGATTTTTTGATGAAAACATAAACTTCTCCTTCGTGAAGTCACAAAATATTAGAATTAAAAAAATTCAAGCGTTTAAAAAACAATTTAAATTTTCAAAAACAAAAATATCGTAATTTATTAAAAATTTCAAAGTTTTCACAACTTTGATAATTTTCAAAAAATATCGGTTATCAATATATGCGCTATGCAAAATGATTCTTAGAAATGTGAGATGATGTTTTGTAATGGTGTTATTTGAGCTTAGCTATACAATAGGTACTGTTTGTTTATTTTATGTTCACATCTCTTGTAAACATTGCGACAAGTCCGTCGCAACGAATGCTAAAATTTATAGAACATATTTAAAAAAATCTATTTAAAAATATATAAAACAATTGATATTAATAATTAATCAAAAATTTTTATTGATTAATAATAATATCATTCCTCAAATATTTAATTACGGTACGGGAAGATCCAGCAATTAGCCTTAAGTCACAATGTAATGCACTACTAATTTTCTTTTTTTTAATCATTTCCTACTGGTTTTCCTTACATGTTCTGGCGCCTTTAGAGCTTCGATTAAACAGTCGCTTAATTCTTATTATCGCGCTAAAAGAAATAATGGCATTTGCTCACTTCAGCGCTTGCAAGCACAAAGGAAAAAAGTCAATTAAAAACGTAGTACTCTGTGTTTCATTGAGGATGCTTTTAGAGCTAAATGTATTATTGGACTGGAATGAAGAAACTGATTGTTTTTCTAAAATCGGGGTTTTTAGTTACAGAGATTGAATCAGAATAATATAATTTATAGAAATTAATATGTGGTTAATTATGCATTTCGAAATTTTATTTTTATGTAAAATACATATAACTCTTCAAATTACTATGAGGGTTTGTGGGGCTGTGTTTAATAACAAATTATTGTATTGACAAAATGAACAACCGGTCAAATTTTTCTAAAGGCAGGTCCAGCGTCTCCGGAGATCCAATAAAAAAATGAAAAATTATTGCCATTTGACGGTCAAAAATAAACAATAGGCATGTGTATATCGTATTATCAGGTATTTTATAAAGATCATAATAACTACAATTTTTGTGTACATTTATATGGGTTCCATATCAATGTTCATTCCTTAGAACTCTACTCGGCGCTTTCGCGCTTTGATATTCTGACTCCAAATGAGCTATGCAGTGCGATTGCTTAAAAAAATGTTTGGAATTAAAAAAAATCAAAATACAACTTTTCAACTTTGTCAAAAATTTCAACATTTATCAAAAATCTTTTTTCAAAGTTTTGCAAAATTCTTTTTACTAATTTAGTTTTCGGTTTTTTCCGTCATAGCTGCAAATAATTAAAAATATATTATCACTACTAGAAAATTTCTAATAAAATTATATCAAAGATATAACTATTGCATTGCATTCTAAAGATGCCCCAAATTGTTGTTCATAAACAAATTCAAAATTGATTGTTTTCAAGTATATCTAATTTTTATTGTCGAGTTATCTGTGAATTTGTACAGCTCTTCACTGTATTTATATAAACTACAAAACATTATTTTGAGTCCGAAAAGTAATACATAAAACTTATACCTTAGCGCAGTAATTATAATCTACAAACATCTAAAAATTATCTTCAGTTAAATCACGCTTCTGAATTCTTAAAATTTCCTTAAAAATAAATCGACTTTATTTTGCAATGTTTGTCAAAAATTAAAAAAAGTTGTAGTTGTTCATAAACCTCCCAAATTGAAAAGACAAGTTGTAGAATTTACTTCATGTAATAAGAAACTTAAGAAAAAGAAAGATAAATTTTCTGGCTTCTCCGAAAAGGCTGTTTTATGTGCTGGTTCAAAACACAATTTAGATAAAAATATCTTGCGCAATAAAATGAAGATCTTTTAAACATGAAGAACATGTAAACTTAACAGTAATATCTTGCAAATACTCACAAAAAATTGAGAAAAATGCACGTTGTTTTGACTATTTTATAATAGCTATGTATAACTACGCAATATAATTTGCGTGGAATTCGTAGTTTAACATTTTTTTATCAAAAAATATAATGTTTCTAAGACAATTGTATTACTGAAACAATTGGTGCATGGCATCGTGCCTTGAAACAAATTGTTGGAACTTTTTGAATGATGAATGAATTTTTGAATGATTTTTAAAGATTTTGATTTTTTTTTTTTAAGTTTTGTTTTTTTCTTTTCAAAGCAATCGTGGCGTAGCTGTTTTAGAGACGAAATATCGAAGCGCCTCGTACAAGTCTAACGGTTAAATATTAGAAATCTTTGTACGGAACCCATGGAAATGGAAACAAAATTTGTACTTTTCATTAAAATTTCTATAAAATATCTGATAATTTGATGTGCTTATGTCTAGAGATCATTGGATCTCCGAAACCGCTATACCTGCCTTCCTAAAAATTTATCAGTTATAATTTATCTATCAGTAATATATCAGTATAATCTATATGTATCAGTAATATATCAATACAAGTAAAATGCTTTTTGAATCTTAAAATCGGACCCTACGTTCTCTCAAAAATTGAATCACCATTATTGGCACTTCTTGCTCTTGCCTTGGCCAAAAACTAATCCTCACGTCTCCCCATCAATAGGAATTGAATGTTCTTTGAATCAGTAAAATTAATTGATCTGTGTTCTTGAAAACGTCGACGAAAAATACGCTCACACATATAATTTTCGAAAACGGTGTTGAAAATTTTGGGATATAAATCTTCACAGGTTCTCAAATGTTATATATAAATACATGTTATTATTTCAAGAATGTGTAAAATTTTACTATAATTCATTACGTGTTCAAAGAACCTGCCTTAAAGTTTTTAATTTGTTAAATAACGTGCTTTTTGCAGTCCATATCAAAGTCCGTAAACTTTCACCATAAAATTCTGCCAGAGGACCCGAAAAATAAATTCCGCCGAGCTTATGATTCTACTTTGCGGAGTTTTGATTCTATTTTCTGTCGTTTTAAAAATCATTAGCAGTCCTTGCCCGTTAATATATTCGCGGGCGGTGTGTGCATGTAGAAAGTATAAAGTACTTAAACAAAATAAACAGGCAAACAAAAGTATGAATGGAAAATAATTAAATCGAAAATCCGCTAAAAACAACTGAGTAAATAATGGAAAACCGAGCGACGGCAAAATATAGAAGAGAAAAAAGTATAGGATTAAAATTGCGAAAGTCTGAAAAAAGTGTGGTCGTATTCATCATTTCAAGTGCACGTATTTTTATTGGAATTTATTTATTCATTTGCATATTGTTTTCGATTTCATAAAGATGCGATAAATTCAAAGAATTAATTCATAAACATTACTTGATGCACGTTATCGGGCTGATTTCCTGATAAACTGGAAATGTCATGGTAATTCTGTGTTACGGGTCTATCTTCGAATGAGTTGATAGTAAGGATATCAAAAAGCTATGTATTTGCTGTGCGATCAAGCGTTTTAAAAATAAATCCTAACTTCACTCATGTGTTATCAAAGAGAAATCAGAAAGTTGCGCTTATGATAAAATTGTTATTTGACGCTGGTGCGTTTTGTAGATTGGTTTTATGTACTAATTTTAGTACATATATGTTATGCCGAAGCTAGAACATTGGTATTATGTGTAAATAGTCTAATCGCACATGTCTATTCGATAGTTCTTCACTACCAACTCATACGATTATAGACCAGTAACATAGCATTACCATAACATTTCTACTTTATTCTAGAATTGCCTCCTATATTTCTTGGTATCCCGAAATTTTAAATTTCTAAATATGAATCCATGTTGACAGATTTTTTAAAATCTGTAAAATCTGTAAAATAAAATAAAATTCTTAAAAATGATAGAATTTTATTTGAACACATTTTCTGAGATAAGCATGTATATTCATGAAAGGTAAATTTTGGTCAAAAACATTTCAACAGTCGCAGTTGTTTTCCCGTATGCTCTGCAGAAAAACCAAGATTTCAGGAATTTTGAATTAGTCGACATTTGATTGCTATATATATTATATAATCTGATATAAGTCGTTTGCTATAAATAATTTTCTTTTATTTTCAGCTGATCCCAAATTCAGTGCGCCTATTGCAAACGTTACCGTTCCTGTTGGAAGAGAAGCAATTTTAACATGTGTTGTTCAGGATCTATCATCGTTCAAAGTAAGTTAGATTTACTTATATATTTGTTATAATTTGATATTTTTTATATATTTCTTATAATATTATGTCTTTAGTATAACCTTATTATAGTCTTAATAAAATCCGTAACAATCTCATTATCAAAAAGTATGAGGGGCCAATTCTCCGGTAAAATAGACCGCAATATAGTATTGTTATGGCAACGCTATGCTACGCTCCTTTTTTCATATAAATTGGTAGTAAAAACTATCAAAATGTTAGCATTTGCTGGGCGATCAGGCAATTTACACTTAAAACCTAATAACTTCACGTATGTGATATATGTGCACATCAGAAAGATGTAGTTCAGATATTTTTTATGACGTTGGTGCATTGTCTAGGTTAGATTTTGAACCTAAAATGCCTGACCGCACTGCAAATACATAGAATTTTGACAGTTTTTACTACTATTTTATATATATATATATATATATATATATATAAAAACATTGCCATTACAATGCTTTTACGTCTATTTTACCGGAGAACGAAATTATTTGAGGATACTAGAGTAAAATAATTTATTGCAGGTTATTAATATAAGTCAATAGTATATTTCAATTAATTTTTATTCTATAAGTTTTGTAATAAATTCTATAAATTTATATTCTATAACTTATTATTTGAAGAGATTTAGGCGTCTATTAAACTTTCAATAACAATACGTAACAGCTCAGTCAAATTTATATAATACTTTATCAATAATTTTATTATATCTTTACAGAACTTACTTAGTAACTAAGTTTAAAAGATTTCGCATGAAAGTTTACATAAACTACTATTATATCAGGTTCTATTATTACAAAATTAATTAATAATTTAATTCTATTCTCGTAAGACTAGAAGTTAGTTCGTGAGTGTTTTTTCACAATGAAGGCGCACAGTCGGATCATAGAAACAGAGAAGCGCTTTATTCCTACAAAAGTTTTATCATATAAACTTATATTCTGGATTAATTTTCATCTACAAACTTTTTGCATAAAACTACGTAGCAATTAATATAATATTTTTATGTACTTTTTAATTTGGTCTTTATCTAAACTAATATTTATTTATGCATTTGAAAAATGCTGAAATCTATATATAAAATTGTTTTTCATCGACTTCAATCAAATTTGTAGTATTCTTTAAATGAAATTTATTCATGCATTAGAATTATTTCGAACTTGACAAAATTTTATAACAGATTGTTTATCAATGTCTGTTGTAAGCTTATAGTAAATTAATGTGATCCGATTTTTTATAAATCATCTATTTATTCAAAAAAATATTAAAAATGTTATTAATCGTTACATTCGCTTATTACCCAAATAATGTTTGATATCAAATCTTGAACATTCATCCTTATTATAGAATCTTTGGTATTTTGAAAATTTGACTTTGATGGAGTTGTGCTGTTGACTCTCGTAAGTTGCACCAAATTAAGAAATCGTACCCCCAGGCCCTCAATTGCGTTAAAATAAATAGCATATTTGAATATAGGTCTTTTGTTAGTCAAATTTATTAAAATAAATCGTTTGGTCCTCTTTGGGACATCACCTCATAATCACCAAACGCAAGTTTCTTTTTACCAGTGGATCCTTTGGCCTGCTTTTAGAAGTAGTTAGAGTAGATTGCTAAAGCCAATCACATTTATTTTTCTTTCTACCTTGTAGTTCTTCCAAAATGGTACTATATAACTTTTTCTATTATTTAAGTATGTCATTGTGTCCGAAAGTGAAGAAAAATGAATAATCTAATTTTTATCAAATATATAAATAATTGCCATAATATTGATCGAAATTACTAGTATTAGTATAAGTAACTTGATTTTAATAAAAATAACAAATAACAATGAACATGTCTTCAAAAAACGTGAGAAAACCATCCTCAAAATAAACTTTTGAAGGCGCTTTACACGTTTGAACACATTGGTATGACAAGGCAATGACTTTCAACATCTGACAGAATTGATAATAATATATTTATTTAACGAGACTTTAAAGTATGTGACAGGATTGTGATTATAGTTTTTGTCACTTTATGCAGTTGCGAAAACTTCATTAAAACCAATTTTTAAATAAGGCCTCTGTGTCATTTTACACTATGTCTTCAAATGATCGTGTTCCATATACAAGGTGCGAAGTTAAACTAAAATAGTAAATGTAAAAAAAAAAAAACTATTGAAACTGATTTCGGACTTAAGAACATTCATTATAGAGTTTCGATATGATCAATGATGTACTGTATGAAATGGATTGGCGCAGTATAAGGTGTTTGCAATTGGTTTTTTAAAAAGTTACAAATAAAAGAAAATTCACTTTATATATGTATATATATGCATGTATATATAAAATGTGCGTATATATTATACAAATGTGTATGTGTTCTATACATTGTCCATTTTCGTGGAAAAGTGCCGTAAAAACGTCGCTCGGGATAATTACATCATGAACAGCATACTAATAGTGACCGCAGGCCACCGTTCGGCCAAAGACACAGAGTATTCAGTATTGCCGGATTGTAAAAAGCAGGATTAACACCGTTGTGAGCCATCAAAAGAAATTGACTGAGCTACGATAATACTTTCGAACGATTTAATTGTCTTTTGTGAATAATTGCTTTAGCGAATATGTTTGGGATCGTTACAATACAGATAGCGACCTTGCCTCAGATACGTGCCTGTCTTCGAAAAACATTGTTCAAACTCATTACAACTAAAATCACTAATTCAGCCAAAATTACTGGTTTTGGAGTTAGATGTCAATTTTATTTATTACTATTTTAAATGTAACGTGTTTTATAATGTTTATGTCGCCAATTTGTGGATGTAACTCATATTTTCATTAAACTATGGAGCCGATTCTGCCCCAAAATAGAGCAATGTTATGGCAAGGCTATGTTACGTGGCCCTTCCATACAAATTGACACTAAATATTGCCATGTGGATGCTTTGCAGTCGGGGGTTTTATATAGAAAACTTATCCTAAAACGCACAAATCTCAAAATACAATGCTGCCATAACTGCATCTTTGATGTTGTATAATAACAAACGAGTGAAGTTGCAATTTCTGTGTTAAACGCCTGACAGTACCATTTTGTATGAGAAGTGCTATGTAACAGAGCCTTGCCATAACATTGGTCTATTTTACGGCAGAATCGGCCCTTATGAGTGGAAACGCATGGAAAAATAGTCTGAAATCGTATAGAGAAATGTTCTTTCTATTGATATTTTGCATGTACTATATATGTAGACGTTAGTCTGAAATCGTGCTGAATAAAGCTAGAACGAGGCCTTTTTTAAATTTTATATATCTTTAAATTATTTTCAGAATTGAAAAAAAAAACGGTCTTATGTTACGTTAAAATCTTCCAAAAACATTTTGTTTAAAAAACGAGTAGTCTCTTCTTCTAACTGACAATTTTGAATATAGTAGTTTTAAGATATGTACATATATATTGTATATCAAATATTTTCTGTATTCTGTAAGTATTATTATTTGGGTTAGGTATTATATTTTATGGTTAGTTTAAAGTATTGATATTTTGTAGTTCTATCATATTTTATCAATATAATTTCAATAATTCAAGTTTTCGGTAAATCTTTTCTAGAATTTGTTTAAAGATTCCTACTAAGAAAATATGGAAACTCAGACAGATGTTTTCAATAAGCAGAAAAGACAATATTGTGATGAGGAAAGTGTTGAGCAACTATCTTCTCCAAAAAGGTTTAAGCAAGATGATGAAATGCAGCATAGTCAGCAAGATAATATTTCTCAAATAGATGAGAATACTGAGAATTCTTCGTTACCGATGAGAGCTGATGAGGGACAATATGCTAAAACAAAAAAAGGAAAAAAACTTTCTAAAAAAGAAAAAGAGAACGAAGATTTGAATATACAAAAGAGCAAAAGAGAACAGTCTTATCGGGCATTGAAGTATCTTCTTAATAAAAGTAGTGTGTATTCCAAATATATAGAGGAGAGAATGAGTAACAACATGCAAAATGTTAAAACCAAAAATCATTCAGCTACACAGCCTGACATTGATTTAGCTCAGATAAGAAATTCCTCCAGTGAACAGGAAAGAGCAATGAATATATCATTGCTTGAGAATGGTAAATTAAGAGATTACCAGCTGGAAGGAGTAGAATGGTTAAAGGTTCTTTACGAAAATGGAGTGAACGGAATTCTTGCAGATGAAATGGGTCTTGGCAAAACAATTCAAACTATTGCTTTTATCTGTCATTTATATAATGAAGGTGACAGGGGGCCTTTTCTCATCTGTGCTCCTTTATCTACCTTACCCAATTGGTCTTCAGAATTTAAGAGGTTTGCTCCAAAACTTCCAGTTGTTCTCTTCCATGGTGACAAGGAAACAAGGAAAAGTTTAGTCTCCTCTATTTTAAAGAAAAAATACATTGTGGGTGATAAAACACAGTGCCGTCCTGTAGTTTTGACTAGTTATCAAACACCGTTGACCGAGCAAGCGATCATGTCACTGCCCACATGGTCGTATATTATAATTGACGAAGGCCATAGATTAAAAAGTCATAAAACTCAACTATATAGAGTTTTGCAATCATTCAAGTCAATGAATCGCTTACTCTTAACTGGTACTCCTTTGCAAAACAATTTAAGGGAATTATGGTCATTACTGCATTTCCTCTTGCCTGAAATTTTCACTGATTTTGAAATTTTTGAAGCATGGCTTGACGTAGATGATCTGAAGAATGATGCTGATAAGTTTATTAAGCAGGAGCAGGAAACTCGTGCTTTATCTATGATGCATGATATTTTGAAACCTTTTGTGTTGCGCCGTTTAAAAACTGATGTCGCTCTAAGCCTTCCTCCCAAGAAAGAACTGATAGTATATTGCCCACTCTCTGTCAAGCAAAGGGATTTATACAAATATGTTGTAGATAGAAATATTGAAGAATTAGCGAATCCAGGCAAAAAAGAATTTGAAATTTTGCCAGAGAAGCGGCCTACTAAGGCTAGAACTTCAAACTTTTTTAAGGAATGTGAATCAGACGATGAATTCGATTTTTACGAGGATGTATTAAATCTTCCTAGCAGTTTCACGGATATTCCAAAAAAAGTAATACGTGAACTAGTCAGAATTACTATGCAAAATACTGCAATGATGTTTCGCAAAATTGTGAATCATCCATATCTGGTTCATTTTCCTTTGGAAAAGGAATGCATACAAGGTGAAACGCCGGTTCTTCGTATTGATGAAGAACTTGTAACTCAGTCCGGTAAAATGATGATGCTTGACGCGTTGAGTAGTCGACTTATTGCTGGTGGTCACAAAATACTTATATTTAGTACTCTGACTATGATGCTCGACATTATTGAAGAATTCGTTATAATGAGAGGCTACGACTACCGGCGACTAGACGGCGGCAAAAGCTTTGAACAACGAAGTGAAGCTATACAGGAATTTAATACTGATCCTGAAGTAAAGATATTTTTATTATCCACGAGGGCTGGAGGTCAAGGTTTAAATTTAACTGCAGCTGATACTGTGATATTGTATGATAGTGACTGGAATCCTCAAGTAGACATCCAAGCTCAGGACCGGTGTCATAGAATTGGACAAACAAAGCCTGTGATAATATATCAATTTGTAACTAGAGGTACTATTGATGAAGTCATCATTTCAGTTGGGGAGAAAAAACGAAAACTGGAAAAACTTATAATACAAACAGATAAGTTCAAATTAGTTGGCAAGAAATTACAAATAACAGAAAAGGCTGAATTAGAGAATTTGAAAAAACTTCTCACTGAAGATGAAAAAGTAGTTGTTACTTCTGGTGAAAGTGTAATTAGTAGCGAAGAACTGGATAAACTATTAGATCGCTCAGATCTGCTACTCAACATAAATAATAATAAGAAATAATATATTTTGTACTGTCATTAGGATTGGTTTATATTTATCATTTATTATTTTTATAGGAAAGATAAAAACCAAATAAGTTGAGTTTTTAGGTAGTTCTACAATGTAAAAAATTATCATATGAAGTTGATCTTCATATTGATATATCATATTTATATGTAATGTCTACCTCGAATCTACATGTTTTTTTTAAATCATTTTTTACATAACGACTATTTTTAATCGTTCGAATCGAAAATCAAAGACATCAGTAGATAATAATATAGGTACATTTTTAAATGTTAATATTTATATTTTTTGGTATCTGAACAGAACAATCAGAACAATGTGTTACATGAGCTGTTGAGCTGTAATTCTTGAATCCTTTTATTAGAAGGTAATTTGGTGATGGACCATACTCTCTTTGATAAAATTATTAGTAGATTTAATATCAATAGTGATATTGTTGCAATGCCTACCCTATATTTTTATTTCTCTTTGAGTTTTACGTGTAGAATTATAAAAATGATATATGAAATTAAACAAATTATTTTTTACTATTCCTATATATATATTTCCTATTACTATATATTGAAATAATTTTATACCAAACAGAATCATATACAACCTGGCCATTTACAAACGTACCAAATGAAAAATCCTCACTATTATTTCCACTCGTATGAATTTCATATATGTATACTCATTCAAATATCATGAAGCAGAGGTTTTGTTTACATAATAGTTTGCTCATAGAAGTAATGCACAGTGTATAGGCGCATGTAACTGGGCATTTGTACGTGACGTAATCAAATTAATTCGCACGAAATGCCGTTCACATGTGTGTTTTGTTTGCCCATATGTGTTTACATAAAACATGTGCAAATTCAATGCGTTCGAACTTTGTTACTCGCTCGAAATTCGGTCTAGGTAGGTACAGTGTTAACTAGAACACAGGCAATATACTGCATTTGTTTGGCAGATTTTTTTATGATTTTTTGGTAAAACACATTCGGCTTTTATGACCAAAGGAATGTAATAATAGGAATCCTATTCACAAAACAGAAAATAAATTTTTAATACCATTTGGAAAAAAGATAGTTGATTACACCCTCGCAGAGTATAGAATGTTCTAAAATCGACTATTTTAGACATTATGACAAATTTGTTAATTAGTTTAGAATTGCATAGCACATACATACCTTTTTGACAGCTTGTCAAAAATTCATACAAAGATATGACCCGTAACAGCATTGCCATAACTTTCTACGTTATCAGAGTGTTGGTCCCAAGTTTTTAAGTAAATATAGCTTGCCCTCATTTTGCGTATTAAAATTTTAATTATATGATCAATATTAGATTAATTCTCCTGAAAATCATAGATAGGCAGTAGTTACCTTCCAAAAGGCAGAAGATTCGGCACAACAGCTCATAAAATGAACATTAATGTTAATTTATTGTTTATTTAGGTACATTCTAGGTAATATTATTTTCTTCTTGTTTTTTATTTTAAGTGTTTTGTTCGTGAAATATTGTGAACTCGGTTTTAAACATTGTTCACTTCACAAATGTGATGTTAATTTTTAGATATTAGGCACATCCTAGATAATATTTTTCGCTTACTTATTATAAGTGTTTTGTTGATGAAATAGTGTGAAATTGCTTTAGGACATTGTACTGATTACAGACAATGCAATTAGTAGAATAGATTTCTACTTGATAGATAATGTGATTGCAACAGCAACAGTTAATACTTGGTATTGACAATTATATTTTTTATTGTTGTAGTATAAAACAATACTTGCAGTACTTTTTCACTTGTATACAGTGAACATTCTAAACGGCTATGCAAATTACATATTGTACTTAATTCAACATTCCAAAAATACATTAATTAGCATTTAATTTGGATAATACACTAAGAAATAAATTTCACGACATAATTACATGAAAATGCTTACCAGCAGATCTCACTGTAAATTATATTATAAGCATATACCAAAATGAAATGATCCTCATTAATTTATTTCTAATACTATTAATATCGTATGTAGGTACTATGTCCAAAATGTACAGAAATTGATGCACATTTTGCTGCATTAAAAAATTAGCTTTATGTTTTCACTTATGAAATTCTGTGTTTATTATAAACAATTTATTACTCTTGATTATTCGAATTTTAATAAATATTATTCAAATTTGTGATAAATATTCAAACCACTTGTATTTCTTTTATTTTTCATTTTAGAACTCATGATTTTCAGTTGCACCTGAGTACTACACCTGCACAATTTCCTTCTCTAATAACAATACACAGTTGCACGCACTAAAGTATCTTTACGATATAGAGATGTGTACAGTGATATTCGAAATAGTTAACAAAATTTTTCGAAATTACAGCAAGAGATGAACTTTATAAACTCCCTAGAAGAGAAAACATCTCAAAAGCAAAAGTAGTTCTAAATCTAAGATTTTCTTTATTTATTTTAATATTCTAATGGATAAAATAGCAAATAATTAGTAAAGACAATAAAAATGAGTGAAGGTAAGTTTCACTGTGCAGTCAAATAAACCACAGCCAGGTTATATTAAATATTTTATATAATTATCATTTATCAATGATGATATTTCTTGTACAGGTGTAATCACGCACCACATACATGATAAATTACTTCATAATATTTTTCAATCTTTCTTATAAATGGTAACCGGGTGGATCATGGTCCAACACAAATATACCAGAAAACCGTTTAAAAACTTTGCTGTTTT